CCAGGACCCCTTGTGGATACCAAAATCCATGGACGCTCAAGTCCCATTAAATACAATGACAGAGTAAAATGGTGTCCCTTAAATAAAATGCCAAAATCAAGGCTGGCTTTTTGGAATTTATATTTTTTGGAATATTTTCAATCGGTGGATGCTTGAATCCATGGATAAAAACAACCGGTGGATATGGAGGGCTGACTGTATATACAGTAGTTCGAGCATTAGATTATGCCTCTGGAGACCAGGGTTTGAATCCCTGCAAAGCCATGAAACCCACTGGGTGCCATTGACCAAGTCAAGTAAACCAGTTACCAAAGAACAGCTGGAACCGGAACCATAATAAAAATAGTTGTTTCCAGAAAATGGAACTATTCTCATTAGCCAGGAAGCCGGTCAAAATACCTGGTTCTCTAAGAGCCCTTGCTGTTTTCAAATTGGCGTGAGCAGACGAAGGCTCTAATACCAGGGGCTTGGTATCACAACTCTACAGCTGATTTTTGGATAAAAGATTTGCTGCTCATTCACAAGGTGGGATTGCTTGGGCGAAGATCACAGATAAGGCTCAGTGGAGGCTATTCCCTTCATCTCTCTTGTAATCTATTGCAGCATCAAATAAAAAGTCAGCCCTGGAAGTCCTGCACCGTCATCATTACACACCAACAAAATTGAACACAATAAATCCAGCCATCTCACTTAAAGGATGGAAAGGGTGCGACGTTATTGGAACCGTTATGTCATACGTGCTAAAATTAAACCTCTGTCCATTTGATGTCTTTGGGTTTTATTTGCAGAACGATGAGGCAAGATGTTGTGCCCAGTGAGAGATCATAGTATTTGTGCCAGAGACTAAGGAACACAATTATAAACACAATAAAGAAGACATAAATTAAGGAACATGGCATTGTCACAGAGTCGCTCTGGTACGGTGAGCTACAAGAAAATGGAAGATAATTGATGCTTTTCAAAGTGAATGATCAAAGTTGGATCCATTGTGATGGCAGAAAAACTGAGTTATGTTGGAAGATTTATGGAAAGCAATGAGACAAGTGGTAAGTCAAGGCCTATATTATTTATATACATGGAAATTATGGTTTGAAAATGTTTATTGGACTTCTTGAGAAGCGTAGACAGTAGCAGATGAAGCCTAACCCTCGGTTCTGCAAAAGAAAGAAAAAGAATACAACTGGTTTCCCCTTGTTTAGTACCTATTACAGTGATGGTCTGCATAACAGCAGTTTACGTTCATCATATAATTTGTTTTCTTATCACAAATCGTTGCACATAAAGTACAAAAACATTATTACAATTTTTCCAAAAGAAAGCATTTTCCAATTCTGGAATAGTAAGACTGAAGCAGCAGCACAGAATTCATTTATGTAAACGTCTTATTTAAAATATTTGTGTTGCTGTTGTGTGCCTTCAAGTCATTTCCAACTTATGGCAACCCTAAGGGGAACCTCTCCTGAGGTTTTCTTGGCAAGATTCGTTCAGAGGAGGTTTTGCCATTGCCTTGCCCCGAGGCTGAGAGAGTGAGACTTACCCAGAGTGGGCTTCCATGGCCAAACACAGAGATTCAATCCCTGGTCTTCTAAAGTCCTGGTCCAACACCCAAACCAATACACCATGCTGGCTTTCACTGGCAATTTATCAGAGGAGATTGCCAAAATTGCCTTTTTGGCTGAGAAAGTGTGGCATGCCCCAGCTCACCCATTGAGTTTCCATGGCTGAGAAGAGATTCCAAAGTACTAACTCAACACTGAAACCACTGCACCAAACACTCAAACTACAACACCATGCTGGCTCTTAAGACTTATTCAGAGGAGGTTTGTCATTGCCTTCCTCTTTGGCTGAGAAAGTGTTGCATGGCCAAGGTCCCCCAGTGGGTTTCCATGGCTAAGCAGGGATTCATATCATAGAATCCAAGTTTTGGAAGAGAACCCAAGGGCCATCCGGTCCAACCCATTCTGCCATGCAGGAAGACACAATCCAAGCCCTCCCTGGGACAGATTACCATCCAACCTCTGTTTAAAAACCTCCAAAGAAGGAGACTCAACCGCTCTCCGAGGCACCAGCTTCATCCCTTGTCAAACTTCCCTTACTGTCAGGAAATTCTTCCTAATGTTTTGGTGGAATCTCCTTTTCTGTAGCCTGCATCCATTGCTCTGGATCCTAGTCTCTGGAGCAGCAGAAATCAAGCTTGCTCCATCCTCACCATGACATCCCTTCAAATATTTAAACATGAATATCATGTCACCTCTTAAACCTTCTCTCTTCTCCAGGATAAACATACCCAGCTCCCTAAGTTTTGGTATCCAGACCCTTCCACCATTTTGCTCACCTTCCTTTGGACACGCTCCGGCTTCTCAACCAGGTCCAGCTTGATCTCCAAGAGTTCTGGTCCAATACTGAAACCTCTACACAACATTTGCTCTCAGGGTTGTTGGTGCAATATGGGCCACTAGTCAGAAGTCCAGAAGTCCATGATCCACACAGAGTATGCATTGCTAGATAGATCTGGACAACTGCAATGCCCAAACCACATCTGGCACCTGTGAGCATCTTTCTCCAGAGTTGCATGGCTTTTAACGCCTCCTTTCATGCAATGAATATTAATGATCCTCCACTCTTGGTGCTAATAGCTTGCCTCTCAGGGTTTGTTATCCATTCCCCATTTTCTAACTTTCTCGCCTCAGAGATTCACTCTTGCTGCTGTTGTTGTTGTTGCTCCTGTTGCGTTGACAAGATATTAAACTTGTCACTGATTTTTCTTCTTTTCTTTTTTTGATAAAAAAAGAGAGTCATAATGGAGATGGTGGTGGTGCGGAGAGAGACGCGTCTCCTCCTGCGAACGTGGAGCGCTCATTTCTGAGATTACATAATAAGAGGTTGTGGTGTGTAATTAAAACTAATAGGTTAACGAGAGAATACTTAGATCGCAGTCACACCAAAAACAGCCACTGTCAGACACATGACAGGGAAGCAAAGTCAGGCATCTAAATGATATCTCAAGAGCAAGCTCAGTTGCAGCAGCCTGTCCCAGCTTCATGCCTTCCAAATGCATTAGACTACAATGCTCACATCCTTCAGCATCAGCTGTGATGCCTGGGAATGATGGGAATTGGAGTCTAAGGTATCTTGGGGAACCAGATTTGAGGAGAGGAAGCTACTGGATTGATGATAATCATCAGGATGTAGTGTGATTTTTGCCAAGGAAAGCTTTATGCCCTGTTTATTTCTCAGGTAGACTACTAGCATGTGATGTACATGGGACTGCCCTTGAACACTGTCCAGAAGTTACAATAAGTGCAGACTGGATGGCCAGATTGTTATCTGCTGTCTGGGTTAGAGACCATGCTTCACTGGTCCCAAATAAACTGTGCTGGCTTCCCATTTGCTTCCCAGTTTAATTTAAGGTGCAGGATTTGATCTATGATGGCTTGAGATCTGAAAATCCATGTTGTCTCCATCCAAGTCATTTCCGAGTAAGGTGAACTTCTCATGGTTCGTCCAGAAAAGGGTTTGCCATGGCCTTCCTCTGAGGCTGAGAAAGTATGTCTTGCCCAAGGTCACCCAATGGGTTTCCATGGCTTTGGAGAGATTTGAATCCTGCTCTCGTAAGTCCAACACTCAGACCACTACACCACACTGCCTTTCATTTACCTCCTCCTCATCTACCTTCATGATGTATACCCCCCGATATACATTTTTGCTAGTGCTTTTTTGATGGGAGAGCTGGACTGAGAAATATAAACACTGAAGGATGGCAATGTTTCGAATCACAGATCGATTTGAGGAGCACAAACTTGGTCAACTGGTATTCAAACAGGAACCGAAGACAATCCTCCCCTTCTTGCTGGTTTATTTGTGAGGAGACATGCAGAAAAAGAAGCAATGCTTTGTATGCTTGGTGAGGAAATGTCGGCATTAACAGCAAAAGCTTGGGAAACTGGCCATTTTGGGAAGAGAACTCCCAGAATCCCCAAGCGTTCCCATGTCAGCTTGCAACTTGCCCAAGGCTTTTGCTCTGTTTTTGCATCCCCAAAGCATGTGAGAGGTAAAAGGAATTTGCAAAAGATGAGAAACCAGAAAGCGGTGTGTGTGTGTGTGTGTGTGTGTGTGTGCCGGTGTGGGTGTGCATGGACTATTTTTACCCCATTGAGAGAAGCCGGACTCTTGTTTTTGTCCACACTCAGCAGAGAATGAATGCTTAGAGGAGGAGGGAAGTCCATTACGTGGCGAGAGGCTGACTCTTTTCATGAAATAATTATTGTGTCTCTTTCTGCTTCAGAGGCATGGCTTATGTAAGCCTTGCACATTGGGCGCAGCACGTCGAGCGACAGAAAACAGTGCCAGTGACACACACATACAGAAAGAAAGAAAGAAAGAAAGAATGAAAGAGAGGCTGGGACCCAGCCATCCTGACCTCAGTGATGTATTCCCACTAAGTTCATATCTTGGCTAGCAAGAGCCGGGGCTTGGCTAGAGATCTGGGCTTCCCGCTTGCCCACTGCAGCTTGGGAGCTGCTTTTTTGCCCGTCAGGCGCAACTTAGCAAATCAAGAGACTCAGAAAACAAAAGGAAGATGGAGAAAAAGGCTGGGATGAAAGAGTGGCGGAGAGATGGTGGTGGTGGACAGATTGTTGTTGTGCAAGGATGCCTAGTAACCGGTTGCAAGAGATTGGCACAGAGAGGGATGCACCAAGATTTCCCACCCCTTTTAAATATTTGCTCCCTCTGCTGCCCTTCCCTTTAAAAGCAAAATCTCTCTCCTAAGCAGAGAAAGAACTGTTTTGGAAATGATGCCTGTTTCTGCTATCAAAGAGGTCCACAGCAGGCAAATAATATGCTTTTGTTGTTGTGTGCCTTTCAAGTCATTTCCAACCTATGGTGACCCTAACGCAAACCGATTGTTGGGTTTTCTTAGCAAGACTTGTTCAGGGGTCTTTGCCCTTGCCTTCCCCTGAGGCTGAGAGAGTGTGACAAGGTCATTTAGTGGGCTTTCATGGCCAAGCTGGGAATTGAAGCCTGGTCTATGGAGTTTAGTCCAACGCTCAAACCATTATGCCACACTGGGTCTCAAAATAATACACTACACAGATACAGTGTTTTGTGTGTTTGTGTGTGTCTCTCTCTCGCACACATATACACACACACAGAAGCCATTAAGGATTAAGGTCCCTAATTTTTGGAGTCCAGGGTAGGAATGGTGGACTGCAAGATCCATCATCCTTAAGCTACCAAAGCAAATGGTGAGGAATAATGGGACTTGCATTCCAACATCTGTGGTTGGTGGGTCGAAAGGATTGCTCTCCATTTAACTTTAAAGCAAGGATGGATGAAGTGCAGCACAAACTATGTATGGCCCTTGGGACCTCAAAGTGTGGCCCCTGGCAGTCCTCCAAAGCTCCCAGAATCCCCCACAATTAAATCATGCTGATTTTCAGGTGATTTTTCGCCCCTCAAACCAGTCAAAATACCCAAAACATCTTGCAAAAGCAGTAGCTTGCTTCTCCTTTCTTTCTTTTAATCTGACTTCCATTTTTTTTTAACAAAATGACATTATTGCAGCCCTCCAATTCTCAGCTCAAACATTTATGTATCCTTACTTGAGAGCAAGTACAAGCAAAACCTATCAGCATTAACTTTTTAATAAACCCGCACAGTAACTTTCTGTTCATGAAGTCCGAAATTACACATTTGTTAACTTTCAGGACTACCTTGTGCTGATGTAAAGGTTTTTTGTTAATATTATGATGATGGTGGGTTTTTTTAAAAAAAAAAATTAACAAATTTTAAAGTGTGCATTGATTAAGTTTCATATGAATTGGTTCTATATATTCTCTTGACTAGTATTATGTGCTCAATTTGCTGCTACCTAGGTCCATAGGGAGAGGCAAGTAAGGAAAAAGTATCTTTTCTGGTACTAAAGATCTTGCCAAGAAAACCCCATGATAAGGTCACCATAAGTTGGAAATGACTTGAAGGCACACAACAACAACAACAACAACAACAACAACAACAACAACAACAACAAATTATTGTTATTGTATTTAGTATAATGTCTCCAGAAGACAATGGCTGGCTTCTTCTTCATGACGTATGCTTGCATAACCGGACGTTACGGCAACTTGGGTACTTTTTCAGACATTGTGTAAGAAGGTATTCAGTATCTCCTTAAACAACATTTTTTCTCAGGTTGCTCAATGGTAGGCAGACACAATCCAGGTTCAGCTGCATCCCTCTCTTGACTAAAATGACCACTGACTGGCCAAAGAGAGATTTGGAGAGATTCTTCTCGCCTACTTGGCTTCCATCCTCCTGCCAGACCTCCAGCTCCATCAATATCCAAAGAGATCTTGGCTACTGTGCACCAAATTTCATCAAGCTGAATTCTTTTCTGCTCAAAGGCTTGGTTCTGTTTTCTCTTATGTGGTACAGAAATCAGTAGCACATAAGTTGGAGTCAAACTATACAGGAGAGGTAGATCTCCAACTCCTGCTGGTAAAATTTCCAAAGACCCAGGCTGAGTCTAAGTGGCTTCCCTGGATGACCAACGCACAAAGCCTTCTATTCATAATCCACATCATTTTCTATGTGTTCACTCATAAATCTGCTTAGTCCCGCTTCCTCATTGTGGCCTCTTTCTTTTTTTTAAAAAAATGCATGAAAATTAGCATCCAAATTAGCATTTAAATGCACATTTAAGTGTGTGTTTTTGAATGTACTTTCCCAGAAAGTATGACTTTCTAAAGGCGGTTTCACTCCAAGCATCTTCAATGCCTCTTAATGAGGTTTTGAGCGGAGAACATCACAAGAGATTTGGAAAAGTACAAAATGCAAAGGATAACTGGCTCGCCCAGCAGTCCGGTCAGAGCAGATGGAGCCTGCTGATATCAGAATTCATAAAAGATCAGATGCATTAAGTGTCCCAGCCTGGATGAGTAACTCAGTTGGTAAGGCATGAGCTGAGATCCACACAGAGGTCAATGGCCACCGTGAGTCATATGGCTTCCCACCACTGGCTGCTGTGATGTTTGTTGATCTCAGCTTTCAGCTTGGCTTTCTCCCATGGCAAAAGAGTCTGCAAACAGTGCAACGGCATCCAACCACACTCCCTCGCCCTGCCTGCTCAACACCTCCTCCACCAGACCTTTGAGACGGATGTATGAGATCACAGTGGGAACAGAACGCCATGCCGTGTTGAGCTACCAGTGTCAGCTGCCGTTTCAGAGTTTACAATCTGTTCGGAAATTTGTTGCCTCAATAATCAGCCTCTAAGACAGTAACATGAGAAACAGACAAGGAGCCCTGCTGGATCTGAGAAAGGCAACTCCATCTTGGTCATCAACAGATGATGGGTGGCAAACATCTTCCAACTTGGGAAAGTAGTTCTCCACTTATCACCCACATCTACCTTCCATTGGTAGTGTCCTGCACCTATTCTTTAAGAACACTTTTTTTAAAAAATATACAATTTATCCATGGATCATAAACTGGAAATTAAAAGCAGACTGCATAGAGCTTGGGAAAATTATCTTCTTTGGACTATTGCTCCCAGAATCCCCCAACCAAAATTCTGCATACAAAGCCTGCACTGGAATAGTCTATTATCTTTCCAGGTCACTGTATTCTGTTCTGGTCAGACTTCACCTGGAGTCATCCTGGCTCTAAATCTGGAAACCACCATTGTAAGAAAGACATTGACAAGCTGGAACATTTTCAGGGGAAGGCAACAAAAATGGTCAAGAGTTTGGAAACCAAGCCCTATGAGGAAGAGATGAGGGAGTTGGGTGTTAAGCCTTGAGAAGAAATATGCTTTCTTGATAAGCTTGTTGTTATTTGATGTTAAGTGAACTTCATAGACTCGAATAGGACTAAACGGAGACTGTTGTACTTTGGGCATATCATAAGAAGATATGACTCACTAGAAAAAGCAATAATGCTCAGGAAGGTGGAAGGCTGTAGGAAAAGAGAAAGGCTGCATCACAAAGGGATAGACTCAATCAGGGAAGTGAAAGCCCTGAGTTTGCAAGACCTGAGCAGGACTGCTGATGATAGAGTGACTTGGAGGTCTCTCATTCAAAGGGTTACCATAAGTCAAAGTTAACTAGTGGCAGTTAAAACCACCAACAATGAATGAAAGAGCTCTAAGGGCCATGGTCATCAACTGCTCTGGTCAGATCTTGCAAACTCAGGGCCATGGCTTCCTTAATTGAATCAATCCACCTATATCTTGGTCTTCCTGTTCCCCTACTATCTTCCACTTTACTGAACATTATTCTCTCTTCCAACATCATTTTATTATATGTCCAAAGTGTGACAGCCTTGTTTGGTCATCTTGGATGCAGACCTGATTTGCTCTACAATCCACCCATTTCTCATTTCAGTTCTCCATACTATCTGCAGAACTCTTCTCTATCACCACATTTTACATTTAGCCACACTTAAATATTTGAAGAATTGTCTTGTTGTGGAAGATAGAGAAAACATTTTTTCTGCTGCCCCCCAAGGACCCAAGCCAATGGTTTCAAATTAACAAGAAAGGAGATAAGGAAGAACATTAGGAAGAACAACCTATTGGTAAGAGCTATTTGAGAGAGGAACAAACCACTGATTTTTCTTTGGCACAAGCATTCACGTCCATTGCACCAGATGCATTTGATGCAGCAGTCTGGTTTCTATAATGCCAGATAAAACTTGCTAACCCTTAAAGGGCCATAAGACCTGCCAAGAGGATGTTCAGTGCACAAAGTGAAGACAACTCTAAAGGAATGGGAAAGGAAAGAGGGGAGGACTTATTTCCCAGTGCTTTATTTAGTTTATATTAATCCAAGCATGAGGTAGGCTGATAGGTCTGGTCAGGTCCTTTTGGCTGTCCTCTCCTTGAACCCCTATGAAAAATTATCAGACAATGTGAACTTTTTGCTTGGATTCCTGACATTACATTATTCACTTCAATTTTTTCCCCCAAGGGAAACATTGCACCGGCTGCAAGAGACACTCTTATCTTTTCAGTATATGTCTGGAGTGGGATGTGTGATGAATCCTTGTGGTCACAGAGCTTGGCAAAAGTTATTTTTGTTGACTACACCCCCCAGAATTCCCCCAACCAGAAGAGCCATGCTGAGTAGGGAATTCTGGGAATTGCAGTTCATGAAAAGTAATGTTGGCAAGCTCTGGAACAACAACTTGCAGGCTCCAGGAGACATCTAAGATCACAAGAAGGCAATGAATGTGAAAAGGAACCCCACAGCCACAAAGCAGTCCATGTGTGTACTAGAAGAAAGAAACAGCACACAATGAACAACTAGTCCAGAAAGATTGCCAACTGACCATGGAAAAATAAATGGCCTACCGTTGTACCTTTAACAATAGCAACTACAAAGATTTGCAAAGAAGGGTTGGTTGGAGATAGAATCATGACCTTTACTGAACACCAGCACATCAGATAAAAGGCAAAAATGCAGCAGCAGCAGCAGTTGATGAGACGTTGGCAACCTTGCAAGTTAGCGGGGCATCCATCTTGCTTGCAAATCTTTCAGAGCCCAGCAAGACCCACCATGCTCTCGAAGATGGGTTTCTGAATATGCCCTTCAGTTGTTTTTGGAGGCTTCCCACAAAAAGCTATGCCAGTAATTGACTACAGATTAAAAGGGGTTTTATTTACAAAGCTGAGTTGGCTCCAGATTTTAAGGGGGAGGAGAGAGAATGAGAAAGCAGTGAAGAAAGGATTGGCATCAAGAAGGCTCCATGGAGTAGTAAACTGATAAAAAAAATTAACAGAAATGTTGGAAGCCTGCTACACCCTTCTTCCAAACCATGCAGTAATCTTGTTCAATAGTCCAGGGCAGGGGGCACTCCTGATTTTTACCCCACTCCCCTTTTAAGTGAAACATCCCAGGTAGGTTCAATCCCCATTACTTACTTATACCAGGACCGGCTTTTGGTCTATCTAGCAAAGCTCTGAATTGTTACTGTTTTGGCTGACATCCCCCAGAATCTCCCAGACATCATGACTATATGGAAGATTGTAAGAGTTATCATATGTATATATAAAGTCAACACTACTTTCTGAG